GCCCTCCTGCCGCCCCAGGTAGCTTCGGCCTTCGATGCGGAGGTGCTGCCGCTTTTCGCTGCCACTCACCACGCCGCCGATGGGTTACCCTTGGACGCCCTCGTAGCCACCCAAGATGCTGCCCCGGCGCCGCGCGAGGCAGCCAGCCAAGATGCTCCCCTGGCGCAGCCCTTGGATGCAGAGCTGCTGCCCAAGGTCAGCCACAACGCTCCTGAGATGCTGCCCGAGGTCAGCCACAACGCTCCCGAGGCGCCGCCCTTGGCTGCCGAGATGCTGCCCGAGGTCAGCCACAACGCTCCCGAGGCGCCGCCCTTGGCTGCCGAGATGCTGCCGGTGGCCAGCCAAGATGCTGCCGCCGAGGCGTCACCCAAGGCCAGCCACTCTGACGACATCGTCATGGTGGACGCCGAGGCGCAGCTCAATGCTCAAGGCGACGCAGACCTCATGGGCCCCTGCGCATTCCCGGCGCCCATGGAGAAGAAGAAGAATGAAGAGGAGGGGGATGGGTCCAATGCTGCCGTCCCCCCTCAGCACCAAATGGATGCGCATCCTGCTCCTGTAACAGAGGCTGAATCTGCCGGCGAGGCGGCAACACAGGACACGGGAGTCGAGCCCAGCACTGCTGCTGCACATGCAATGCCAGACGCTGAAGAGGGTGCTAGCATGGAATTGGACGCACCTTTGGCTTTGCTTGAGTTCACTGCTGGATCAAGTGGACACAGTGTACTGGACAGTGTGTTGGCTGATACTCCTATGGCCGCCGAGGATGCCACCATGCCTGCTTCCATTGCCATGGATGCTGAGGATGCCGCCACACCAGTTTCCACTGCCAAGACCGTCAAGCCTAAAAGACGCTTCACACGGTCGCTGCTTGGACTGGACAGAGAGACCGCAGCCAGTGAAATTATAGGAGATGTCTCGCTTGATTTGTCTGCAACACCAGGGAGGAGGTTCACAAGGTCACTGCTCAAGCCAAAGGTGGAGGTGCCTCCTGCCAGCAGCCCGGTTGTGCCTGAAGAGCCCGTTGAAAGCACACCAGAGACCCCTCCATCGGTGACCAAGATGGAGATGAAGATGTCCAAGAAAGTTGCCTGCCTCTCAAAGCACCCAGGCAACACCAGAGATTTGCTCAGCACAGGACTGCTCGAGGGAATGCCGGTTATGTACATCATCCCTAATAGCAAGGTATGAGACAATCAGTCATAAGTTTTATCAACAGTTTCTTGTCTGTCAGCACCACTTTACTCTATTTGAGGATTGCACGAGCCTATCACCGCAACTGTATTTTATTAAGCTTCATGATATATTAGGTTAGCCGAGTAATCAGTATTCAGGAAGTTTTTCTGTTCAGCCAATACATGCATGTGTTTGCTTTTGCCGTCTTAAGTCATTTGCTAGACCTTGACAATAGTGAATCCATCTGTGACAGAATGCCAGTAGCTTTGATGATACTTTCTGTTATTTGAGAACTTCCAGGTACTAGTTACAATTAAATGTGTGATAACTTGTTGGAGACCAACAGTCTCATCCTATTTGCCTCAGTTTTCAATGCAACACTTGTAGCTATGCCTTGTTATATTATGATGAAGTAGCAATGAATCCCATATCTTGCTGCTCAAGATGCCTTGTGTAATATATAAATATTATCTCTCTTTTTTAGAGCATGAAATTTTAATGCAGTACAATTAATATGAATGTTGTTTGCAAGTTGCAGAAGCCTGTGCTTAAAGGTGTGATTGCAGGTTGCAATATACGTTGCTTTTGTGTTAAGTGTGATGGCTCCAAGGTTAGTATTTCTTCCCTTCAAAAGGAAAAATAGGTTAGTGCTAACTACTGTATCTGTAAGCCGTTGCAGGACACAAAAATGATTACGTAATGCTGTTCTCCTTCTGAATTTTACAGGCTATTACTACATATTTCTTTGAACTACATGCTGGAAGCAGCAAAAAACACCCTGCAGAGTACATCTACTTAGCAAATGGTAATAGTTTGCGGGATGTGCTGCGTGCCTGTGAAAGTTCTCCTTTGGATTCTCTAGATAAAACAATCCAGTCCTGCATTGATCCCATGCTTACAAGGACCCGCACGAATTGTCTGAACTGCAACGGTGAGACTTTCATGCTTATGTAATTCAGGGAGTTGTAGTAGTTTCCTTTGGTGCCTTTGCTTATGTCTCCTAATGTTGCAGGTGAGCTACCTTCACAAACGGAAGAACAGTTTCTGTGCCATCAGTGTTGCCCAGAGTCGAACCAACCTCAAGATCCTACTTCTCCGTTGGCATACAGCAAGAGCAGTTCCAGGTGTGCAATTTAATAAGCATAATAATGTGCTAGATGTGCTCTTATGTCTAATTAACTAGAGACCAAGAGCTATTATTTACACTGTTCTATCATAAGGAAATAAACTGTAATGGCTGCATAATTTGTTCAGGAGCTATTACTTTACACCCTGCTGTTGTTATAAGAAAATAAGTTGTCTGTATCGCTATCTGACAATACTTTTGACTTCTATTTCGAACTTATGTTTTATTTACAAATGACATTCCTTTCCATGTTTTGTTTTGGGGTGCCATAGTCTGACTCCAAGTTCCAAGGAATCTTTGTTGAAGAGGATGTCGGCAAGCAAAGGCGCAAGTACCGGAAAAGTAACAACAAAGTCGGTACTTCTAGTTCTGTTAGTTATCCCTTCTAGTTTCTCACTATTGAGCACTTAACTCACTGGTCCCTGCTTGACAAATTTTCAGGGATACGGGGCTACACAAACTGGTATTCAAGGTTTTGCTTGACGGTACTGAAGTAACCTACTATGTTGATGGGCAGGTTTGGAGCAAGATCTATTATTTCCTTATTTTCTTTAACCACACCCTGTGTTTTTTGTTGTTGTTGATAATTTGCACTTGCACCGTGTAGAAAATAATCGATGGATACATCAAGGATCAAAGAATCTACTGTAACCATTGCAACAAAGTGGTGCAGCCCCTTTCTCGTCAAAGCTATTTTTTACTGCGTATTCATTTTTTTCCCTGTGAATTGACCTTTTATGAGGAATATCCAGGTCAGCCCCTCAGCGTTCGAAGCTCATGCGGGTGAGGGATCAAGACGCAAACCGTAAGTCGGCTGCATCCTCTTTTTAGCTTATTATACCAACCTGCACTTGTCTGCTTGCTCTTATTTATCACATTGCTATCAGGTATGACAACATCTATACGTCAAATGGGGTATCCCTGCATGAGCTGTCAATGAGAATATCAAAAGACATGCAATTGTCGGAACGTGAAACTGATGATCTGTGCAGAGAATGTGGTCTAGGAGGGGATATTTTCCCTTGCAAAATGTGTCCAAGGTCATTTCACCCAGGTAGAGCCTTCCTCCATCTTCCTAAAACTAACGGTCAATAATGCGCTAAGAGTGATATTTTTCAGTTATTCCCTCATAAATTATCAACTCAACCAATCTAATATGGATCTGCTTACTTACAATCTGTAGCTTGCGTTGGGCTGCCTGGAGTTCCCTTGGAGGAGTGGTTTTGTGATAACTGCACCATCCTCGTTCAGAAAGAAAAGGCTTTAGCAGCAAACAAGAATGCCAAGGCTGCTGGGAGGCAGGCCGGAGTCGATTCCATTGAGCAGATTTTGAAGAGGGCTATTAGAATCGTCCCAATCTGTGATGACCTTGGAGGATGCGCCTTATGCAAGTGAGTACTATTTGTCCTAAAATGTTGCTAGCTATGCTGTCACTTCCTTTCCTTATTTTTTTGACTACTTTGTATTCTTGTAATAATCTTTCCGGCAAATGTTCTTGGTGCAGGAAAAAGGATTTTAACAATTCAGTATTTGATGAGCGCACTGTGATACTCTGTGATCAAGTATGCCTTCTGCATTTCTAGAAATTGCATCTAGATCGTTACTGCTTAAATTCAACTTATGATCCTGATATTAAGACACATTTTTCTTCCATCTTTTTTCTGTGCTGTTCAGTGCGAGAAAGAATACCATGTAGGATGTTTGAGGAGCGAATGGCAGGTCGACCTGAAGGTTAGCACTTAAAAACTTCATCTCCACATTTAAGTTTTTATGTGCATGATATATTCGCATGAAACGAACAGTGCTGACATCTTTGGTGGAAGATAACACAGTTAGCTTGTTTATGCTCTGCAGGAATTACCAGAAGGGGAGTGGTTCTGTTGTGATAGTTGCTCTGAGATACGCTCCTCTTTGGACAAGATGATTTCTGAAGGAGCTCAGCCTTTGTCGGAGTCAGACCTTGATATCATAAGGAAGAAGCACGAGTCAAAAGGTTTGATCATGGACACCAATACAGAGATCAGATGGCAATTGGTTGCTGGTAGAAGTGCCACTGAAGATGGCAACTCATTGCTTTCTTCTGCTGTCCCAGTTATTCATGTATGCGCTGCATTTTTTTAATCTTGTATGCTGCATTTTGTTCCGCCTCTTACCTCACTATTTTATACTGACTGGTTCACTTGTCTGGTTGTTTTCTCCTTGCAGCAATCTTTTGATCCAATCATCGAAGCCCATACTGGTAGGGATCTAATTCCTGAGATGGTCCACGGGTAAGAGAAGATAACCGTTTCCCAGTATTTTGTTCAGTGCCTAGAGTAGAACTGTGTTAAATGGGATTTCTCTTTTCTACCAGGAGGAGACCTAAAGAAGGAATGCCAGGCCAAGATTACGGTGGAATGTACTGTGCGGTCTTAACTGTAGGGTAAGAATTTTTTTATCATTTGAAACAAAAAATTGGCCATACTTTTGCATCAAGTGTTACTGAATTCTGCTTGCCTATCGCAGTTCTACTGTCGTGTCGGCAGCACTTCTGCGTGTCATGGGAGGTGACGTGGCCGAACTGCCACTGGTTGCTACAAGTATGGATCTTCAAGGACTGGTGAGTTTACAGTTGCTGCTTAGCATTATATCATCCATGCAGTCAAAAAAATGCAGTTCTAAAGAGTTAACCTCTGCGTTCTATTCACATCTACGTATGTTTTATTGATTCCATATCCTTCTTATTTTCTAATGATTTTTATTTGGTGCTGATACAAACAGGGCTACTTCCAAGTGTTGTTCTCATGCATCGAAAGGCTGCTAGTTTCGCTGAAGGTGAAGCACTTCATGCTTCCGGCCGCCCATGAAGCTGAAGCCATCTGGATGAAGAAGTTTGGCTTCTCTAAAATCCCTCAGGATGAGGTTTGTTGCTGTTTGTTTTGCTGTCTGCTATTTTGTTGTGTTGAGATGATGGAGAGAGTAAATCTAAGCGAACTGACTGGTTGTGCAGATGGAAGCTTATCTTAACGGGGGACACCTCACCGTATTCCATGGAACCTTGAACCTGTACAAGGCCGTTCCATTGCCTGAATCTTAGCGGCATGGATGTCGAAGCCGCCCTTTGCTGCTTAATGGAGATATGCTCATCAGACATGTTTGTCATTTGAGGCTCTGCTGGTAACTGTACATAATAAGATGATGAAGCATGGCGAAAAGATGATGATAGTTACTGCAAATCTAAAAGAGGGGAGGATAGAAGAAAGATACCAGAAATGTTTGATCCTGTGGTGAAGATAGATTTTGAGATGCTGGAACAGGGGAAATCAGTGCTTCTCTGCCGGCTTTTGTTTTTCGTTTTGTACTTTGAGTAGGGCGTTGAGCTGAGCCGCCATGCCGGGAAGCAAGCGTTGGTGTATTTCGATGTAAATGCCTGGCCGTCTCAGGAACTGCGGAATTTTGAGGCGAGATGTTGTCTGTTGGGTTGCGGTGGTTGAAATTTTGATCTGTTCATTGGTGGGGTGGCGCGTTTGTAAGAAGAGAGTTGGTTTCGTCGGTCTGGTTGTTGAATTTTGATGAGAAATGAGGAGAGATGTGGGGGTTGGATAAATTGGTTGCTTGTTTGTACCTTACCTGATGGATGAAAGTTTTACCAACAACACCTTTTGACTCATGTGATGGCTTTAGCTTCCTTGTGTGCGTTACATGTGTGTGATAATAGCATGAAATTTATGTATTTTTGCTTTGCCCCAAATCCTATAGAAAACAATTTCAAAATGTAGGTCATATTTTGATTTTTGAGAATGTATGACTTTAACCATCAGTTTACCTTATTAGGTAGCAAAAAATGTGTCATGAAATTTATGTTGTAAGATTCGTATTTTTAATTGTTACTAGCAAAAGGGCCCGTGCGTTGCAACGGAAAAAAATAATCTTCAATGGCCATGACCACATTTTGCTGCATCGTAGAGATATACTATCACTCTCAACCTTGTGTAATCAAGGAAAAATGTTGAAATCATGAACATTTTTTTTAGCTCGTGAACATATTTGAAACTATGAACATTTTTCAAATTCGTGAACACTTTTACAAATTTTCGACCATTTTCTAAAATCAAGAATAATTTTTGAATTCTGAACAATTTATACTATTTGCAAACATTTTTTAAACAATTTTCTTAAATCGGCGAACATTTCTAGAATCGACGAACATTTTCTTTGAAATTGGTGGAACGATTTTAGAAATTCACGCATTTTTTGATTTAACAAACATTATTTTAAATGCATGATCACTTTTTGAATCAGCAAACATTTATGGATGAATAAACTATTTTGTAAGTCACGAACAGTTTTTGAATTTTAGGATATTTTTCTATTCATACACAATTTTTGAATTGGTGAGATTTTGTTAAATTTCATTAACATTTTTTAATACACAAATTTCAAAAAAATCATGATTTTATTTGAATTAGCAAACATTTGTTTTCAAAATTTCGTTTTTTTTACAAAATCGCGAACATTTTTTAAATCCACAAACATTTTATGATTTATGAATTTTTTTTCTAAATTATCATTGTTTAAATTTTTTGAAACTTTTTTGAATTCCAAAATTAGTTAAAGCAGAAGAAACAAAAATGCAACAGAAAAAGAAAAAAAAAGAAAAAACAAAATTTAAAAACAGGCCGGCCCAAACAGGCACGCTGTGTCTTCAATCTGTGCGCTGAGTGTGGTATAGGAGGTCCATACTGCATTGGTTAGATATAGATTGGTTTAGGATTGTTTTGAGAGAATAACATGACTTATTATTATCATCGTTACATATAGTATCTCGTGGATGCGATCTCGGAGACATGAGCCTTCGGTTAATATTTGCAATCACAATAGAACATGAGCCACGATATTCAACAAACGAAACATACAGAAGAGAAACTCTTCACACTAATCTTATATTCGCAATCACCATGCCTACTGATGAGTGGTCCATATTCGCAATCACAATTAGTAGACAATCATCATGAAATAAGGCCTTCCCTTTGTCTCGAGTGAGGTTGATAACACAATATATATATATAGCATTATAACACCTGAAAATCACGGACACACCAGAAATTGCCGTTTTGGCATCCTGATACAACGGATATTCCGGGATACTCGAATTCAACAATATCATCTGATTTTTTATTTAAGAAAATTATAGTGATGCATCAGGACACGTATATGTTCTCCACATAAGGAATGCACCCAGCCTCAAAGACAATAGTGAATGCGCCACCACCTCCTGGATGAAAGCCGTCGCCGGCGACGCCTAGACTTGATCGACGACCCTACCCCCAGCACCAGCAGCCTCTCCTTCCAGTCGCAGGTAACCTAACAAACTCTCCTCATTCCTCAACTCCTTCCTCTTTTATTCTTCTAATTTTCTTCCATTAAGCTGCTAGATGTTGCTTGTTGGCCTGCTGCCCTTTGAATGCTTGTGCCGCTGTTGCTGCTCGCTTGCATAGTTGAATCAATGCTTATGCTTGTGCCGTTGTTCAATCTTGAACAACGAATGCTTGATTGGTGATTGACTGCTTGTTGTTAGCTTGTTAGGTAGCATGACAGTTGGGAGCGGCACAATCGGTAGCCAATCTTCCATGGGCGAGAGTGACGGGCAGCCTGGTCATGGTGTTGTAATCCCGAGTATCTTTTGTGGGCTTATGTGGAGAATCTTGTACCACAAACATATGTTGGTGCTCTTGTTGATGCTGCCTCGTGTAACCGTGGAGGAAACACAAAGTTTTGTTGCAATTTCTGTAACAAAATCTACCCAGGCAGTTATTCAAGAGTGAGGCTTCATCGTCTTCAGATAAAAAAAGAAAGATATAGCAACCCGTGACAAAATTCCACATCCTGCCTTTGAACAAATTTGCAAGGAAGGCATAGCAGCCCATCAACTCATTGCACATGGTGCAAGCATACAATTCCTTTACCTCCCTTTAATGCATCTCTTCCAACAAGAAAAAGAAAGCAAACAACTACTGAAGAGAGTTTTAATACTAAATATCTGACAACAAGCCGATGCTCATATTGCTACAACATTTTTTACTGCAGGAGTGTAATTGTATAACAATCTTTTCCTTTATTGTCAAGCATGGTAAAATTTAGTCTATTGCTGAGTTGCTGACTGTATGGTGGGTTTGTGCATATTACAGGGTTTCCATTTAATCTTGCAAGGAACCCTAACTTTAGGGCAACCATCACCTTTGTTGTGAACAATAGCTTGGGTGGGTATGTGCCTCCAGGATGCACTAAGGGCAATTGCTCTTGATCAAAGCGAAGAAGCATATTAAGAGGAGCCTAGAACCCATCAAATATACCTAGCTGAACAAATGAGTGACTATTGCAACTATTGGTTGGTATGAACCTTAAAGGCGACCCATTTTGAACTTCATGGCAGTGACAGAAGGTGGCCCAATGTTCTTAAATGCAATCGACACCAAGAGAGAGGTACGATCATAGTACCTACATGATTTAGTTTGTCTTCTGGTCCTATTTTTGCCTATATTGCTTGACTTTTTGACTTGTTTTCATTGCAAGACAAAAAGTAAGGAATATATCTTTGGGGAGCTAAAGGAAGTGATTGAGGAACTTGGAAGTTGGAGTTGGGAATGTGGTTCAAGTGATCGCTGAACAATGCTGCAAATTGTAAAGGTTCTTAGTGGATGATTGAAGCAAAGTACAAGGACATCTTTTGGATTCCTTGCGTTGTGCACACTCTAAATGTTGCATTGAAGAATATATGTTATCTGAAGAACAATGAGGGAAAAAATTTCCATCTTCTCTTCATCAAAGATGTCGCTGATGATGCTTCTTTCATAATGAATTTGTCATATGAACCATGACATGACGTTTTCTATGTTCCTCAATCTAGCAAACTCAAGATCCCAAGTACCTGTGTGGGCTTATGTGAAGAAGCTTGTACCAGAAACATATGTTGGTGGTGATGCTGATGCTGCCTCTTGTAGCCGTGGAGGAAACACAAAGTTTTATTGCATTTTCTATAACAAAATTTACCCAGGCAGTTATTCAAGGGCGAGGCCTCATCTTCTTTAGATAACAACCTGTGAAAAAAATTCCACACCCTACCTTTGAGCAACTTTGCAAGGAAGACATAGGATCCAATCAATCCATTGCACATGGTGCAACTAAGCATACAATTGCTTTACCTCCCCATAATGCATCTGTTCCAACAAGAAAAAAAAGGCAAATAGTTATTGCGGAGAGTTTTAATGTAGAAATCCGCCACAAGCCGATGCTCATATTTCTAAAACCTTTTCCATGCATGCCAGAATTTGCCGATTTGGCGTGCTGATTTGGAGGGATACATGGACATGGGGCCGTACGCGAATACAACAGTATCCCCCATGCTTTAGTTTAAAAAGAAAAGAAAAATATAGGAAAATGGCGGGACACATAGATGACACGTTTGGGACACGACCTGGCCCAAAAAAAAAGCCTCGGCCCAATAGCTAGCAGTGAACGCGTCACTGCAACCGGCGATGCCTGGACAAATCAACATGGCCGAAAAAGGAGTGACTATTGCGATTGATGGTTGGTCTGGTCCTTAAAGGAGACCCATTTTAAACTACATGGCAGTGACAGAAGGTTGTCCAATGTTCTTAAAGACTATGGCCAGCAAGGGAGAGGAAAACTCTCAGTACCTACGTAATTTATTTTGTCTTTTGGTCATGTGTTGTTGCATATATTGCTTGCTGACTTTCTCACTTATCTTCGCACATTCAATCATTCACTCCTTTAGTCTTCAGCCATGAGAGAATGAGACCATCACTCCATTAGTCATTCTGTGCCTATTTGCCATTTGAACATTTTGACTATGTGGCCATCTGAGCCTTATTAGCTCCTATTTATCATGTTCTTAGTAGACTATGTGATGTTGTCAACTAGTCATGATTTGTATTTGTAATATGGTGCCACATTGGGGTTGGTAGTTTGAGAACTGAGATTTCTAAACCATATTGCAATTAGGAGCCAAATGCATTGCAAATTGGGCAAGCAAACTTCTTTACTATTTTTCATGTTTTCGTATTGTCTTCAGATTAT